GAAGACCAGCTCCCACCATCCACCATTCCTCTTGTTCAAACCCAGCATACATGCCACACATTTCAGAATTGTTAACATGTAGCCACATGAGAAACAAATTCACTAACAGTTCCCTTTGTCTATAGCCTTAGAATATTCAGAAAAATTCTAATTCATTTTCCAATATCTATAATTATTATATTGTCATATCACAGGGCAACATTTGTTCATTATATTGGTCACCTAGAGGCACTCTTACCCAATTTATGTTGGTTGTCTAGTTGTCTTGATATTGTTGACTTATAGAATAATTATTCTGTGGGTCAGACTATATATTCTGTATGATTGTGATGCTCTGAAATACATCCAGACTTGAATGATATAGCCCAGTACATCATCAGCTTTTATAAGCAATTTGGGTGTGACTTCAAAGTAACTGAATTCTGCAGCATTTATATTATATCAGTGAAGTTCTGAATCCTTGTTGAGTAAATGTTCTACTCAGACTCTGGATTGTGTTGATGATTTGATGTTTTTATTTCATGTCAATTTAGTATAAATTAATTAAAAGTAATAACCCCAATTAAGAAATCCTCTGTGTACATTGTTCTTAATAAGAAAATAGTGACAAGTAAAAATATTTTTTAATCAAAATCTAAATTCTTACCACTCTTAGCCCTTTAGTACATACACACATTGATATTCATGCTTTTCTTTTTATCAACGTGATGCTACACTCTTGCCATTTTGTAACCTGATTGTCACTGTCAGGGATCTTTCTATTTCTACTACATTTTATTTCGTTTATTTAAATCAGTATTCCAGTTCAGGACTGAGCACTACATCTGGTTACCGCATCAATAACATTTTCCTTAATCCAACACATTCTCTGTATGATATTGACATCTTGAAGTGACAAGGTGACTCTTGTAACATTTGTTATCTTTCTGAATGTCTGTGTTCTGTTGTATGGAATAATTTATTGTCTCCTTTGTATTCTTATAAATTGGGGAGTATTTTTAGTTTGGAGGAATTCCCGTTAAACATTTGTAAAGTACATGATTGGTAGTTATGTGTCCTCTCTCAAAAGACACACAACATGTATTGGAAGGCAACAGTAACTCCTAAGCATTGCTACTCAATTAGGATAGCAATCTGATTCTTCCATTGCTCAGTTATGTATTTCCTGTTGTTAGTGGAAAAAGCTTTGGAACAACAGCAGCATTCAATTCTGTAGCAACTATCCTTACAGTATTGACAACATTGTTTATACTTACCTTTTCTTTTTTTTTTGCAGTACTGGGGTTTAAGCTTAGGACCTCACACTTGCTAGGCAGGCGCTGTACCATGTGAGACACTCCACCAGCCCTATTCATATTTTAATAAGATTGGGAATTGCTAGGTGATTTAAAAAATCCTATGAACACTTGTAGTTTTTTGCTGACATGAGCAACTGGAATTATTTGGTAACCTCAAAATATAATCCCCTTGGAAGGGGTAGGAAATATATATAATATTTTTTTACTAATTATATAATTTTTGGTGGTGCATGACAATGATAAAAATTATTGAAAAATGGTTCTGTTCTCTAAAGAATCATTTTAGATCTATCCATTTTTCATTTACTTAGTTTGTTTAATCCAACATAATCAGTTCTTCTGCCCTCTTTGTCACAGTATTGGCAGTATATGAAGCTAAGTACTCAGATACATTTTTTAAAACAAAACCATAAATCTTAGGCTAAGATTCTAAAATTTATCTTGTGTCCTCCCTTCCTCATTCTTGCAATCAAACATTACTTTAGTTACTCGAGAGGTAGCGATCAGGAGAATCACCATTCAAGGCCACCCCAAGCAGAAATGTAGTCAGGCCCCCATCTCAACACCAACCAGCTGGGTATAGTCGGCACATGACTGTGATCCCAGCTACACAGGAGGTCATGTGTAGGAGGATCAAGGTTTGAGGCTGGCCATGGTCAAAAATGTCAGGTCCTACCTGAAAAAATAACTAAAAGCAAAAAAGGGCTGAGTACATGAGTGTAATGGTAGAGAGCCTGACTGCCTAGCAAGCACAAGGCCTGAGTTGAAACCGAATATTGCCAAAAAACAAAAACATTTCTGTAAGGATCTTCTGGTATTAGTAGGGAATAGTGAGACAAAGATAGTAGTGTTCCTTAAAGATACTAATCAGAGGTACTAGGGGTTATCCTAGTTGAGTGGAGAATATTTAGAGATGAGGATTTTGTGTCAGTAGGGAATCAGAGAGGCTACATGTAAGCCATCAGGGTACTTATCACTATGTCCTTTACTTGACATTATTCTGTGCAAATTTATCTGTAAAGCCTAGGGTCAATGTTGATCAAATATTTTTCTGTAACATAGTATCATCTATGTTCTATAATTTATTTGCATACAAATATTAGATAATTGTTTAGCACTTTTATAATTTTTTTTGTGTTTGCTGGTGATTGAACCCAGGGCCTTACACATGCTAAGCACATGTTATACCACTGTACTGCACTCCAGCGCCTGTAATTTCTTTTTATTTTTCTTCTGTCTGTCTGTCTGTCTTTTTCTGTCTCGCTCTCTTTCTCTGTACTAGGGTTTAAACTCAGGGGCCTCTTGCTTCCAAGGCAAGTGCTCTATCACTTGAGCAACAACTCCTAGCCCTTTTTTGCTTTAGTTATTCTTCAGATAGGGTTTCATATACTTTTTGCCCAGGCTGACCTTGGATGGCAATCCTTCTACCTATGTCTTCCACACGCTGGGATAATATGTGTGCCTAGCTTGTTCTTCAAGATAGGGTCTTCTAACTATTTTGCCTGGGCTGACCTTGAACTGGAATCATCCTATTTCTGCTTCCCAGGTAGCTGGTATTACAGGAGTGTGCCACTGTGCTTGGTCCAGATGGTGACAACTTTCAAGCCCTACCTCTTCTTTTTCCCATTCTGCCCCTCTTTTGGGGTAGCTAATAAAATGCTGGGTTTCCACCCCCTTTGGTGCCAGTGGGAAATTGAAACCATATAAGCCACTGTCTATCCCATGTGCAGCAACCCTTGTCCCAGCACCACATGCTGACCACCATAAAACTCCACACTGTTCTCACATCTTTTAAATCATTTTCTGACCTGCTTGGGAACCACCTTAATCCCTCAAGAAGGGTTATAAACCTCTTAACGACCTTCTTGGTTTCATCAGTCTTGACATCCACTCAAAATTATTTTGTGAGCGTTCATCCTGCCTTTGACTGGTGTCCACAGTAGTTAAATGGAGAGCCTTTATTTTCTGATATTATTGTTATTTTCAGTGGGGTTTTATTGGGTGGGTTTGAACTCAGGGCTTCCAGGTGCTCCATGCTTGAGCCAAGCCTCCAGTCCATTTTGCTCTGGTTATTTTGAAGGTGTGGTCTTTACAAATCATTTGCCCAGGCTGGCCTTTAACCTTGAGCCTCCTGATCTCAGCCTTCCAAGTAGCTAGGAAATAGGCGCTATCACTGATGCTGACTCAGTGTTATTTTTGAGGTCAGTGAATGTTTGTTTTATCTCACCTGCTTCTGCACATATCACAATTGAGTCACAGACAAATTCTCATTGCCTTCTCATCTTGCACAATATTCCTGTTTTCTTGCATCTAATCTGGACTGCCATCTTCCAGCCTGCACATACTATTTCCTTCTTCATACAGTTCTAGGCATTTGGTACCCCAGGGCTTTCCTTAATATCATAGTTTTATTCTTTCTAACATTTCCAACTGGAAAGAGTTTCTTAAGATTTTCATTCAAGTCTATATCTGTGAATTAACTGAATAGTATCATCAGAATACTTACATTGGAAGTACTAGAATGTCTGGTCTTGACAGAGGGAAGAGAGGACATAGGAAGGGATATGAAGCAGCACACATTTAGCATGTTTAGAATAATAAAACTCAACCGATGTAATTACAGTAATTTATTTGGCACTTTGGACATACCCTGGCCTTGTAATTCAGTGGTGAAACAATGTGGGATGTGTCTGCTCTTGAGGAATTTTAAGGGAATGTAAACAAGGAGAATATCCAATAAGAAAATTAATAATTGAAAGCAAAGGAATGAAGTTCTAGAACCTAAATCCCGAGACACAGACACACTTACAGTTGGCAGTACAGCCTTTCCAAGGACAGAACACTTATCCTGGGACCTGAAGGATAAGAAGGATCCATCCTATAAGGTGCCTGCATCCAAGCATTCTTGAGAGATGAAAGTCTCTGGAAAGCCTTAAGTGACAGAGAGTTGTACCACACTCTGGACGAGAAGGTGATGGAAGAGAGGGAGCTTTGATTGAGTCTTCATAGGTAAGCAGGAGTCCTGCTGTCCTTGGAAAGGGGTTTGGATTTTATTCTACAAATAAACAATCACTAGAGAAATTTAGGGGATGAATTATTTTTTGGTTTTTGGCTCATTTTTTTTCTTTTTTGGTTTCAGTGTTTTGGTTTTTGAGACAGAGTCTCACTTTGTAGCCCAGGCTGGCCTGGAACTCATGATCCCACTGTCTCAGCCTGGAGAGTGTTGGGATTGTAAGAGTGAACCACCATATTCTGCTTAAGGGACGAATTCTTAAATATCAGTCTGCATCCAAATTAGTGATAGGCTCAAAATAAGATGCCAAGGTCTTTCTCTTTTCAATTCTAATTCATTTGGTCTCTATACTGCCATGATATCAGACTTATACCAAGTTTGTCAAAGATTCTGAGCCATAACCTAACATTACCTGTTTCCTTAGTCAATAACTTTACTGTCTTAGCTCATACATTTCTGGATTCTTCTTGACCTTTTTCAAACTTCATAACCATATTTTAGAATTCTGTAAGCCACTCACTTACTATGACTGTTGCTTCTTCTTTTTTTGCAGTGCAAAAAAAAGTGCTAGGCAAGCATTCTACCACTGAGCTCCACCCCCCCCCCCAGCATAAATATTGCTTCTTATTTCTTTTATAGAAGTTTCATGATATAAAACATAAATATTTTTGTTTTCTTCTTTGTTCCAGCTCTGGATTTACAATGTGAAATAATTAACTATGTAGAAATGCCCTCTTATGAGAAAGATATATCTTCTACACGACTTCAGAGACTATATAGCAAGAAGAAACTCCATGGATTTAAGAAATGCCAAAGGAATTTAGTAGTAGCCCTCAAGGTTTCCTGCATCGCAGGTTTTGTGCTGTGGAGAAACCCTGTGAATGCAAAGAGTGTGGGAAGAACTTTCGTAGTGGCTACCAGCTTATTCTCCATCAACGACTCCACACTGGAGGGAAACCCTACGAATGTATAGAATGTGGGAAGGCCTTTCAAAGTGGTTATCAACTTTCCGTGCATCAAAGACTTCACACTGGTGAGAATATATACGAATGTAGGGAACGGGGAAAGCCTTCATTTATTCCTCACACATTGTTCAACATGAGAGGGTCCACACTGGCAGGAAGCCCTTCAAATGTCAGGATTGTGGGAAGGCCTTTAGTCAAGGTGGACACCTCAGGATTCCTCAGAGAATTCACACTGGTGAGAAACCCTATCAGTGTAAGGAGTGTGGGAAGGCCTTTAGTTGGTGCTCAAACCTTGTTGAACACAGGCAGACTCATACAAATGAGAAGCCATACATGTGTGAGAAATGTGGGAAGGCCTTTAAAAGAAGTCATCAACTCATTGTGCACCAGAGTGTCCACACTGGAAAAAAACCGCATGAATGTAAAGAATGTGGGAAGGGCTACACCACTGCCTCATACCTCATTCTACACCAGAGAATTCATAAAGGTGGGGAACCATATGAATGCAAAGAGTGCAAGAAAACCTTTACTGTGTATCGGAATCTTACTCGACATCAGAAATTCACACTGGTAAGAAAGTGTTTGAGTGCAGGCAATGTGGGAAGACCTACAGTACTGGTTCAAAACTTTTTCAACATCAGAAAACTCATACTGGTGAGAAACCCTATACGTGTAAGGAATGCGGGAAGGCCTTTAGCTTGCACAGATACCTCAGTCAACATCAGAAAATCCATGTTGGCATGAAGCGCTTTGAATGTAAGGAGTGTAAGAAAACCTTCACTTTGTATCGGAATCTTACTCGACATCAGACCATTCACACTGGTAAGAAAGTGTTTGAGTGTCAGGAATGTGGGAGGTCCTATAGCACTGGCTCAAACCTTGTTCAACATCCGAAAACTCACACTGGTGAGAAACCCTGTGAGTGTAAAGAATGTGGAAAGACCTTTAGTTTGCATGGATATCTCACCCAACATCAGAAAACCCACAGTGGTGTAAAACCCTATGAGTGTAAGATATGTAGGAAAACCTTTACTTTCTGCAGAAATCTCACCCTACATCAGAGTATTCATACTGACGAGAAACCTTTTGAATGTAAAGAATGTGGGAAGGCCTTCAGACGTAGTTCACACCTTACTGCACATCACAGCATTCATGCTGATAAAAAACCCTATGAGTGTAAAGACTGTGGGAAGACCTTTAAGATGTGTGGGTACCTTACACAACACCAGAAAATCCATACTGGCAGAAGACCTTATGATTGCAGGGAGTGTAGGAAGACCTTTAGTCGAGCTTCAAATCTTGTGCAGCAGGAGAGAATCCACACTGGTGAGAAGCCCTATGTGTGCAAGCAGTATGTGAAGTCCTTCAGATATTGTGCAGTCCTCAAAGCACATAAAAGAGTCCACGCGAGCATCAAAGTCCAAGAATAGAAGGAATACGCAAATGCCATCGAGCAGACTGATGCTTTTTCAACATCAGACAATTAACATTGGCGAGAAATGAATCTCACAGGTTTGTCTCTAGCAAATGAGACTGCATAATTCAGTTCTTGCCACATTAGGAAGCATCCAGTGTCAGTCCTGTCTCTGTGGGATATGGCATATTCAGGAAAATAGAAATCCTAATATCTTTGTGCCTATGCCTGCAACGTCTGCACCATGGAATTTTTGTAAACTAATTTTATTTGTTAAATGAATAAGAGCCTCCTACACTAGACAGCTAATGGCTAGACATACTAATGGCTGTGTTACAGATTACCTCAAATCCTTTTTTTGTCAGTACTGGGGTTTGAACTCAGGGCCTTGCACTTGCTAGGCAGGTGCTCTACCACTTGAGCCATGCCCCCAGCCCTTTTTTTTACTTTAGTTGTTTTGTTTCTTGATTTGCTTTTAAATTTTAATTCAGTGTACAATAAATAGTACATTTCCATTTTTATCATTATTCAAATTAAGCAAAATATTTCATACTTGAACTAAAATTCAGGCTAGTTATTTGTTAGATAGGGTTCAAGGCCTGGGGCTGGCCTGGGACTGTGATGTTCCCACCTATGTTTCCATGTAGCTGGGATTACAAGTGTGTCTCACCATGTCCAACTTGCTTGTTGAAGTAGAGGTCTCTCTAACTTTTTTCCCTGGCTGCCCTCAAATCTCAGACCTCCTCTCTGCACTTCCTGTGTAGCTGGGATTACAGTGACAAGCTACTGCTTCCAGTCCTTGTTTCTTAATGTCTTAATACAATAATAAACATTTCTCACAAGTTGTGTGGGCTAACTAGAAATTCAGGAGCATTGAGTTTTTCATGAAATTGTCATCTGAAGGCTCGACTGGGAATGAATGATCTGCAACCCCAGGGGTTTACAGACACTGGTTGCTGGATTAGTGGTACTGTTCCTATATGGTATTCCCAACAGTTCTTGTCTCCACTTTGTTGATATGAAGATTTAGGAGGTAGAACCTTGTTGGAGTTCTTAGGTCCATTGAGAGTGTGGCCTGAGAAGGGTGAACCCAGGGACCTGTTGGGTGATGTGGTCTTTTCCTCCAACACACACTCTTACTGTTGTGATGCTATTGGCCCTGAGAGCCTCATCAGAGCTGAACCAACTTCAGTGCCAAGCCTTGAATCCCTGAAACTGTGAAGTGAATAAACCTCTTTCCTTTTTCCTTTTTCCTCCTCTTATCCAATGATAAGGCCATGCAGGTAAATTCTCACGAAACCCATACTCCTGAACTGGACAACTCTGAATCAACTCCCCACTGGTGGGGCTTAAACAATTTTCACACTGCACTGCCTTTGAATAATTTTCCTACACGATCTCCTCCCATCACCCCCAGTCCTTCAGAGTTGTCAGCCTTGCATCTTTTGCTTGTTACTGTTCTCCTTTGATATGATCATGTGGTCATTTACACTGAGGTCTTGTTTGAAACCATCTCTGGAGAACAACATGCATTGCCATGTTACATTACTGTTTTTGATGAGCTGCTGAATTTTTCTTGAGAATATTTTGTTCAAAATTTTTGAACAAATATTCAAAATTGATACTAATACTGCCAGTCACCATTGATATTCACCTCAATGTTTTGTTATTGCCACTGTTTATCATTAAAAGTTCAATAAAACTTGGCTTAAAACCCCTTTGACCCTGTCTTTTATTTGTTTGGTTTTCCTTCTTAAGGTGGGGTTTTTGGGGGGGAGGAGGTTGCAGAGTCTTTGTGGAGTTGAGGACCGAACCCAGGGCTTGTGCTTGCGGGCAAGCGCTCTACCACTGAGCTATATCCCCAGCACCTGCCTTAAAGTTTTAACATAAGATTGCTAACAGTTTTTCCAAACCCATCTGATACTCTACTATTTTTATTTCCATTCTGTTTGGGCCCAACAGAGTAACAGACTTGAGTACCTGCCCCAGCACACTTCCTGTGAGCACTACACATCTCTGCAGAACCACTGGGCTCCACATACAAGGAGCATTCCTGCAGAGCTCCTCAGTGAGATCCAAGTACCATGTGTTCTTGGCAGTACTATGCTGAGGGCTCAGGCCACATCTACAAGAATATAAAATGCCACTAGGTGCATAAACTTGCTTAGACACCTACCAGCAGTTTTTTGTTTATTTGTTTTTACAGTACTGGGGTTTGAACTCAGGGCCTACACCTTAAGCCACTCCACCAGCCCTGTTTTGTGTGTGATGCGTTTTTTTGAGATAGGGTCTTGCAAACTATTTGCCGGGCTGGCTTCAAACCATGATCCTCCTGATCTCTGCCTCCTGAGTAGCTAGGATTACAGGCGTGAGCCACTGGCAATCAGCTACCAACAGTTTTAATGACAGTGACAGAGGCTTCAATGTGTGAAGGGTTTTAATGCAGGATGAGAAATATTTCTTCATAGTTTTCCTTTGTTTTCCCCTATGCTTAAAATTATAATTTGTCAAAGAATTAGCATTTCATTAAACATTAAACAATCAACATTCCTCTAGATCTGCAGTCAGACACACAAATATACAACTATTTCATTATCATGGGCATTCTTTCCATTGCACAGGAATATTCTATATTTTGTCCACATTAATAAAGAGAAGTCAGGTGCAGTGGCTCACTCCCAGGGTAGAGATAGGGAGGACAGTGGTTCAAGACCCCTGCAAAAAATTTGAGAGAGCCCATTTCAACAAATTAAAGCTACATGTGGTGGCACCCACCTGTCATTGCAACTATGCAGAAAGTGTAAATGGAAAGATCAAGGTCCAAGCCGGCCAGGGCATAAATGCAAGACCCTATTTGAAAAATATCTAAAGCAAAAAGAGCTGAGCATATGGCTCAAGTGGTAGAGTGCCTGCTTGCCTGGTGACCACAAGGCCCTGAGTTCAAACTCCAATAGTGCCAATAATAATAGTAACAATGAGAAAATTTTTATAGATTTAACACATTAAATATTGCTGAGTACTTAAGCATTGCAAAATTAATCAAGTACTTTAAAGCATATACTAAAACCATTTAAAGGCATTCTAAATCTTCTAAAATAAAAAATATTTAAAAATTATAATATTTTTAAATGGTAAACAAATTGGGAACTATACCTTTAAAGTATTTGTTGTTTTATTCTTCCCTATTTTTATGTTCACACCTATTTATATTCTTAATCCTTCCCATAGAACAATTTTAAATACTCCTATAGTTTTCATATTCTTAACTAAAACACACAAAGTCACAAAAAGTGAAAGTTTTGGGCTCCATTTATCAAGCACATATATTTTGAACCAGTGCCTTAGTCTTGGTGACCTTAGGCTTAGGAACTAAGTGTTTTTCTTTAGTTTTTCTTCTTAAATAAGCACTACTGAGATATATTAAGACAATCGTATGAGCTGGCTTAAGTGGTACAGGCTCTGAGTTCAACCCCCAGTACTGAAAAAAAAAAAGGTTTGCTTCCAACCAAGAGAATATCAGGGATAGAATTTACCTCCCCATCTTAAAGAAATTAAATGACAGTTTTCAGTCACTGGATGACAAGCAGTTCAAAATCATGATCTCCAGTTGCAGAAACAACCAAGATGCACCCTATTATTTCTCCCAATATAATTGATGGAGTGTTTCCAATCCATACACACAGGCAGTTAACAGAAGCTAATTGCTTCTGTTCTAGAAGTGTTCTTCTAGAAGTGTTCTTCTAGAACTGAGATACAAACTTTAGAGTTTGAGAAGGCAAGGTATGCAGAACAGAGCATGCCACACACACATCTCTATAGAGAGACGGGAGTTCCTTAGAATCTTTAACTAAGTACTGTGCAGTTCAAATGTGAAGAAAAAAAAGCACCTGAAACTGCGGAAAGATCCATTTGTCTAAGTAATAGCGAATGATTTTCATAACTCCAAGTCCATAACAGTTGGTGTTACCAATAGCCAAAGTGGAAAACCTCATAGTTCAGAAGGCATGGTTACTCCTTTAATAGGAAAAATTAGCCTTGGACTCAAGACTGCTCTGGATCTGCCCATGAAACTTTAAAAATGATCTTTGAGCTTGGTACAGTGTATCACACCTGTAATCCTAGCTACTCTGGAGACAGAAATTAGGAGGATTGAGGTTCAGACTCCATCTCAACCAATAAAAAGTTGTGTGTGGCAATGTGCCCATCATCACAGCTAAGTGGGAAGTATAAATGGAGGGTGGTGGTCCAGGCTGGCCTGAGCATAAATGTGAGACACCATTCAGAAAAAGGCCCTGAGTCCAATCCCTAGCACCATTTAAAGAGTCTGGAGTGGTGGTGCACACCTGTACTCCTAGCTACTCAGGAGGCAGAGACTGGGAGAACTGCAGTTTGAGGCCATCCTGAGTAAAAAGTTGGTGAGAACCTAGCTTAACAAATAAGCCAGGCATGGTGGCATGTGCCAGTTATGTGAGCAGTGTAGGTAGGAGGACTGCCATCTGAGGCTGACTCCAGGCAAAAATATGAGATTCTATCTGAAAACAACTAAAGCATACAAAAACTGTCGATGTAGTTGAGGTGATAGAGCACCTACCTAGCAAGTGTGAGAGCCTAAGTTCAAACCCCAGTACCACACACACACCTTGAAAAGATCAAACTATTTCCAACCAACTGAACTGCATTTCAGAACAAAGCTAAAAAACATTTAAAATATATCAGAATATCCCATAATATAACATTTCAATGTTAAGCATCCATCAAAAATTAAAAGGTGGGCTCAGTGTGGTGGCATATGCATGCCTGTAATCCCAGTACTCAGAAGCAAAGGCAGGAGGATGGCAGGTGGGAGGCCAGCCTGGGCTACCAAGCAATACCGTTTCAAGAAAACATGACTAGCCAGTGCTGGTGGCTCACGCCTGTAATCCTAGCTATTCAGGAGGCAGAGATCAGGAGGTTCGAAGCCAGCTCCAGGCAATTAATTCTGCGAGAAGCTATCTCAAAAATACCTAACACAAAAAGGGATG